GCATATTAACAACAAGCACACCACCAACTGGCCGGCCGGCAGCATGAATGAATTACATATATATGTATATCCATAGAATTGTGCCAATCGTGTCCTTGAAGTTAACATGCTTAGATATGGACGACGGGCATATTGAGAACGCCGCCATTCATAAGCCAAACATGGAACATGGATGACTTATATGCGCATGAAATGCAATTAATCATTATAATTAGGTTATAATGTGGTAATGATAGATATACATAATCGCACGTAACACCTTTCAACGAAAAATCTGACTGCAGAGCGATTAATACAGCGCTGAGCAGAAGGCACTTCCGAGCTTCTCTTGTTTTTTAAGTGTTTGAACTGAACATGAGATGCTTCCCACAACTACCAGTTGCTTTCTCTAATAGTTCAAGATTTTGTGATTTCAAAGCTAAACGTGCCTTAACAGCATGAAATCGCTAGCAACTGCCAATTCATTTTCTGCAGTACCTTTAAGCAAACACCATGCTCAAATGAAGTAATTACATTAAGTCATTATGACCACTCGCATAACTTTCTCACATTTGCTCGCAATTTATTTTGATCGATCAATTTTTGGATAAGAATTCTTTGGAAAATGAAATTTGAGAATGGTTTCCAATAAGAAATCATCGATAATGTAATCATCGATAACCGATACAAGTATTCTTCAAACTAGTCAGCACTACAATGTGCTCATTGTGAGGATGAAAAATTCGCTGAGGAGAGCAAAATTTTGGAGTGTCAGCTGTTCTTCATCCACTTTCCAAAGTACCCATAATGTGACCAAAAACCATCACATTCAATTCGTTCAAAGTGCTGAAAATTCAATAGCGTATGATATTTCACACGTCGAATACAAATTGCTTCGCATCTTCGCAGAGTAATCCGACCTGCAAACGATAAAGAGCAGTGGTTCTCGTAAGAGGTAAAATTACCCATTTTGGGTAATTTGGAGGTGTCAAGGGGTAATGGAGGGGATTGGGAAATTAGTATTTCGTGCAGAAGCTATGTTTTGATTGAACGCCATCATGAAGGTGCTTTTTAACTTGGGTAAACTCTTCATTCTCCGATTTTCTGAGTATCTTTAGCTCGTCTGGGCCTAAGAGGATTTTCAGTTGTTTTAACAGGTTTTTCATTCTTTTCCTTGCTGTTGCAATCGCTCTCATGACTTTTATCACCAAAAGTGTTTTCTCATTCATTTCACTTAACAGTTAAAGTCAAATTCTCATTCTATCAAATACACTCTAAAATTGATCATTTAACTGCCGAACGTTGATGAACAATTCAGTTTGATTGCTCTGTTGTTGACTTCGGCTGTCAACACTCGTCAACGCATTCAGTAAATAGTATATGCTACAGAATAAGAAATCGATTCGAACTGTAAAGTAAAATGAGACGAAGTGAATGAGAAAAAGTCATCAAGAGAACGGTATTCGCATGTGATAGCTATGAGAGCAAATAGAACACGTCTGAAAAGAATGAGAATCCATCTAAAACAGCTTGAAGTGAACATGTCACAGACAACAGCTTTTCATACAATCGTAATCAATTGCAATAATGAGCAACACAACGGTCTATAACAGTGATTCTCATTGGAAGTGGAATTACCCGCTTTCGGTAATTTAGGGTTGTCGAGGAGGGGTTGGGGTAACGGCGGCCTGCCAAATCATCAAAAGTGGTAATGGAGCACCCGAACGTGAGAACCATTGATATAGTGCATATATGAGGAAGCTATCAATGGTATAAAAAGCTCTGAGGTGGTCTGTTTTCTCCTTCAATCCTTATGTTGTAGGAAGACCATGAACATATCTTGAAAGATGATCAATTCAGTTGAATAGTTCAATATTAACGAGACTAAATATTCCTACGCATTAATCCCTAAGTTCCGGAGCCAATAAATATCGTATAGTATTGAGTAGCCGGAGCTGAGACCGACATGACGGTTTCGTTCCGGATGCAGATTCCTCTGCAGTTGCAGTCGGAGTGATACAGAGAAATGCATACATCTGGTCGATGAATATATCTCAGATTACAAATTGTACTTTATTTAAGCATCAAGCAGATATTTATTACGATAGTTTACGGATAGAAAAATTGCTGATTGTGAGTAACCATCGCGATCAGCATTTATAAAACTCGAAATTCCCACTGCTTCCATAGAGTTTCAGTAATGAATTTTCAACAAGTTTGCAATCGAAGAAAAACTTCAAACTTCAAACAGTTCATATTATGACTTCCTACGCTCCTGTTGTTGAGACATAAATTTCTTCGACTGTTCAAAGCAAGGAAAAATATGGCAAAAAACAGCACTTCATACACGCATAACTGGAGCAGAAGAACCGTACTTGTAAGTGTATGCCACGAAAAGTTGAATGCATAGAAATGATACTAGATGAATGTGGACAGACTGATCAGACCACATAGTCTCGAGGAAAACAATTTACTGTTTCGATAAGCACGGTTAGTTACAAGTTCAACCAACAACAACTTATCGATGTTGAAATACACCAATCAGAGTTAGAACTGAAAGGTGGCCGAAACTCTCGAAGGAATTGTGAGTGTTTGTGAAGGAAACGTGCAGAGATGAAAGAAATTGGTAAGTAGTGGAATGTTTGCGATCACTTCAAATCACACATGAGCACGTGCGAATCGCAACATTCCATGATCGAAAGCAATTCTTTCAGTGATTTTTACAACATTTCAAATCACTCTCGACAGTAGGAATGATTTGAAAGGCTGCTGACAAGAAGTTTTAAAGAAAAAATTCGAAAAACAAATGTTAATATGCATTGTCTGAAGCATCGTAAAAGTTGTTCGGTTGTGTCTGACAATATATATTTATATCCCTTCAATAATGTGAAGCGTCAAACAAATGATCATCTTTTCTATTGACGTACAATGACGTTCCGTTGAGAAGAAATATATTTGCAGTTGAGCTGTGAAACGAAGTCGTACTTGAGAACAATCAGAACGAAACTCGAAATAAAGATTTTTTTGACCAGATCGAAATTATGATTCCTTGGAATAGCGTTCGCTTACACGCGGTCCATTGAGCTTCCCATTCGAACTGAGACATTCGTGCAATTTTTCATTACCAAAGGAGGATCTCTAAAATCATTAAGCATATCCCTTCGAACTCCCGCTTTGTCCTTCATTGTATCGATTTTGATTGTGGTTCACTCTATAGATCAATGATTATGAAATGCTCTCATGCGACCTGTCGCACAATTTGAAAGGAGTCTTTTTTAATTCATCAATTTTTTTTTCAAGCTCTATCACTATTTGATGCTCAAGCCTTTTGCTGAACCTCGTTTCATTACGCTCACTCTCGACATTACTGATATCAACGGCTTGTGGTGTTGCTAGTATTGTCAGTGTTCGTTCAGGTTGCCTGCAGTTTCGATCATAACTGTTGTCTTTATTATTGTCAATTCAATGAACTCAATCGCCACCACCGTTTCATCGAAAAGATGTGAATGTCCTTGGGTGAAGTGAAGTAATTTGATTTGCCCAATCGAACACAGCAGTGCACTCTGATTGATTTTCTCAATTGCAAATTTCATTGCTTGTCACTTCGAATTCCACAAATTGTTTTCGTTTTCAATTGTTTTCTATCGTCTAATTCACTTATCAATAATTCTTATAGTGTTCATTTGATCAGGGGGGGATTTGATTGATCGGTGGGACTTATTGGCGGTATCATTATCCTGCATAGTTTCAAGTAGACGATACTTGATGTGCTTCGGTGATTCCACGTAAGACAACATTAGTTCGAAATTTGTGTCCCAGTTAGGAATGTTTCTATTCGACACTTTTAGCCAAATGTTCTATTCTGTTCTATTCCATTCTGCACGTCCCTTTTTAGAACCATTTTGATCTATTTCATTCCGCTCTCATACTGCTCTGATCTATTCCCGCGAACTCGACTTTTCAAACCTGGATTTATTTTCGAACCGTTCTGTGGAATAGAAACATCACTAACTGGGACAGAAATCTATGATTCAACAAATATATCGTAACGAGATTATTTATGAATATTTATTAGCATTATAAACCTTCAACCGAACCACTCAATTGAATAAATTTCGAATTCAATGCATTGAAGATTATCATACAATTGGATTACTGACATTACATTAGTGGTAATGCTTCAGTGAGTGCCAGGTTCCACGCCCGGAGGGAGTGGTCCACTACACGAACGCCAACATACGTTCGCAAAGCTCTCGACGCATACCGACCGCAAATACACCCATCTAACACCCAACAGCCAGTGGCTTTCAGTTAGTAAAATGTAGAATAGTATATTGCGAGGATGGATAAAAAGTCTGGAACAAGGGATCGGGGACAGGGTCCCCGAAATCCCCAATCCCCGCAACACATCAGTATAGAATTTTATCCGCTAGTGTGTTGCGAGGACTGAAAAAAGTTTGGGACGGGATAAATCGTGGACGTGGAAGTGTTGTTGGCTCGAAAAAGGTAGGGAATGAGGAAATTGAGGACGGGATCTCCGAATTCCCCTGATCTCCGCAACACACTAACATAGAATACAGTAGCTTGAACATTAGACTGGCTCAATTGTACTGTGTAGTAATAGTAATAATGATAATGATAATAATAGCAATAATAATAATCAGTGATGGGTACGCTACTGAAAAAGTAGATCGGCTAACTCGTGAAAATATTCGTAATCCGCAAAAAACAATTCGCCATCGCTATCAGTGCCCAATTAGTAACGAAATTTCTCGCCAAAGTGTCCTGACGGAAAAAAAGTGGCGAAAATCTTTCGCTGAGACGCTACTCAGCAGAATAAAGCCGATAATCCCTATTGCTAATCGGTACTTTCCAGTTCTCCTTCAAAAATTGCAATCGCTCTGCTGAATTCTCAGAAAGAAGCCCTCATATGCCACTAAGCAGTCAAAAGTTCACCGATCTCAATTTATTCGTTTCCATTCTATTGATTCAAGTACCGTACCCATCATACCATCCAGCGACTAGGACATTTCCATGTGTTGGTGAACTGAACTCACGCCGCCACTTTCAGGAACCGTACCGGGAGCATCTCCGCCACAATCGGCAGCGGATAAGATATCCATGGGATTATCCGCACTCAGACTCTGTGACCGTTGTTGTCCTTGCAAATTTTGACGATTATTTAAACAGAATGGCACCTGAAAGCGATTACTAAATCAGTCCATTTTAAATTTACGACGAATTCAATCAGCCACATTTGCCTAACCATCATCTGAGATATAGAATGGACGAAAATGTGCATCTACTGAAAAACTACCTCACAGGCAGTATCGCTGCAGCGTTTAGCGTGATAACGACACAATTCAGTGAGTTGTTTGCATGCGGGACAACTTGCACTCTGACGTTTCAAGCACACTCTCGAATGTTGTAGCTTTCGTTTCATCTCATGGCACGACCCATGACGACAGTTCACATCACGGCAATGACAAGCATGGATGAGTGAGCGCTAAAATGTTTCGTTATTGTGATAAATTGATTCCATAACAGAAAATCAGTGCATCCTTCTTTCAGCCGGATAAAATCCTGAATCGACTATAAATAAATAAAGAAACGATATATATCTACCTCCTCCTGTTTATCCTTCCCATCACCAGCTACCGACGCGTTGACCATTACTAATTTATGTGAATGTTTATTACACCAGTCAAAATCCTTAAAACACAAATACGTGAATTTGCTTGCAGTCAGTAGGATACACGAAGTTCGATCCGGTAAATGTCAACTTCTGTGAGACAATCTTAACCAATAGAACAATTCGATAGAAATTAACGAATACAAGGAACACGTCTGCATCCAGTAATATTTGGATTACAGGTAAGGCGCACGTAGAAGCATTGGAAATATTAAAAACCTTACCGGAATAAACTAAAAAGCAATAAACCAAACAAAACGGATTGATCAAAGGGCAAACAATCAAGTGATCAAATGGAGTGATGGACAAGGCTGAACAGCGTTACGTTGACAATTATTGCACGTGTATGCTAAACCGTCGCCCTTTCTCGGTTACGTAGCACATGATAAAAGCTAATCAATGAACGAATATCGCTTGTCTCAGNGATAAAAACTCCGAGTGTTCATCACACGCTCCTGTTAAGAACACATCTCGTCAATGCAATGAAGAATCACTCAGCATCAACGGATCTGAATCCCTAAAATCAAACCAATATTCACGATTGGTTATGAAAACTCGTTCCAGACGACTATATAAAACGCACTTATCCACATAATCGTTAAGGGAGATTTCAATACGATGAGCAAAATCGTTTCTGCACAATTAGTTGTTAAAACTGAATTATATCTAAATCGCTCTCCAGACATTTGAATTTAATTACTTGAGTAGTGGGATTTGGTTCTGATCGTAGTTTTCTACTGCGAAACAAAATTGCCGGTCATAAAATTTTCATCTCTTTCATAGAAATTCATTAAGATATGCGGTTTTCTAACAGTTCCAAGTAGAGGCACAATCAAAAAATCGCAAGCTCAATGCATAAACTCGTGATGAATTGTAATTGATCGCTCATATCTATCATACAAAACTGAAACCATCAATGCCTATCAGTTTGTTCGTTCCTTAACAAAAAATAATGCGAATCATGAATAACTGTTCAGCGTGCGGAATTTATATATACAGTGGATACGTTTACACCCATAGAGCATGCTATAGCGATAAACTGGAAAAAAAAACAAAGCGAAGTATGATTTGCGAAAGCAAACGTTTCTAAACGTTCACCTAGCTAACTGCATCATAAGCTGATAGCTTGTAGGCGATAAGATAAAGTTATCATACAATCTGACACAACACACACAGCTATCAGCCACCTACATGAGCACATGCGAACAAGCACGTTCCAATGAATGTGCAAGCAAATTGCACATAAAATTGAAGTTTAGTTTAACGGTATTAACCATGAATCTAACTTGCGGTTAATGGAAAAAAACCCATATGCCATTAACCAGTCAAAAGTTCACCCGTTTAATCCTATTTAATCCCATTCGATTGATTCAGATACGATTGAATCGCTTGATATCGCTCTCAATGCATGATAATGTATATAATCTGATTTTTTTTTCTTTTTTCCGACCTTTCTTCCCTGTAAACCAGCAGTTAGATTAGTATATTTGCCACAATGTAATCATTTGCAAGCAACTTTATTGCTCATGCAATTATGCGAATGAACATCATTCATATCCTTTGCTAGGCACAGTCATGTAACCTATTCAAAACCATATAGTTTACTAATCGTGAGCTCAAACGGAATGCTAGTGGTACACTTATAGCAAGTATTTGAGGCATGATTTAGTATTCAACTTCGACCTGTTAAGATGATTACGAGTAGGATAAGTTTCAGTTTTTCATTTATTAGTGTTACAGACAAATATGAATTTGAAATATCCTAATGTTGCGAAAAATAAGCGCTACCTTGCACCAGAAAGGTGGCGAGTCAGCGGAAGTCTAAAAAAGTAGACCGTTGGGTTCTATTCTGTTCCACTCTTCAAGCTTTCTGTTCCATTCTATTCTTTGTATCCTTTTTTGAACTGTTCTGTTCAGCTTCAGCTCCTTGGAATGGAACAGGAATGGAATCATTACTAGTCCAATATGATCATCGCGGTCAAGAGGTTATGATAGCGCTGATTCGGTTCTCATAGAAAACTCGCTGCTTAAACACTATCTTATTGAAACTGCTTGAAGTTGACATTAACATTTATGTGGATAAGTCTCATCGTTATCATTAGTAATGCGAGAGACTTGTTCCTAACATTACGCATTCATCTTATTGCATTAGCGCTATTCATTTACTGAATTGTGTGTGATTCTCCAAAAAAACGTTGCTAAGCATCGATGTGTTGTTGACTGCGTTGATCGAACAAATATTTGCGGCGGCACGTTCAACGATTTCAAATTACCATTTGTTATTTATACCAAACGTTGAGGAAACTCGATGTAAACAATTTCGCATAGTTTGAGGAGAGAAGCACCATAACGCTGTCAATTCACATAATAACTTCAAAATGACTGTCGCTTATTGTGAGTAACTGGTTTTGAGAGGAATTTTATGATGAAACTGATGAAATGAAAGTGAAATTGATAAATGGGATCGATGTAAATTGATGTCATATTTAGTTGGTCTCGGTTAATGACTCCGGCGAATGACTCCTCACAGAACCAGTATTTCATCAATTGGTTTTTCCATGACAACAGGTAAATAACACTTTCCTTATGACTTTGTTCAGTTCAATGACTTTTGTTATAAAGGTAACGTCGAAGTGATGGAACTGTTGTCTCAAATTTTCATCTTTATTTCACTTCAAAATTTTTCGTTCAGTGTGAATAATTCGTATTGATTCAGATATTGATTGCTGAAAGTCTCGTAATATCTGATTTTAAGGATTATTTTGTTGTCAATTGATCATTTATCCAATCTCAATAGAAGTGGATACCCGAGACTCGGATATTCTAGTGGTTTCCATTGAACAGAAATAATTCGTCGGCTTGGTTTCAGATGAACGGCATCTGGATTTTGGTACTTCTTGTTCTACCTTTTTGCACTGATGCCTTGCCATCATTGAGACTTGGTACGTTGCAAAGTGCTGGCGTTGAAGGCATCCTGAAATGCAAGGGCAAACCAGCCGTCGGTGTTAAAGTGAAGCTGTACGACACTGATACAGGTTGTTCTTTTCGGATTTGTTGCTTCACATCTACTTTTCTTTGCAACAGATCATACCCTCCAAAGTAAAA